AAAATAAAATAAATATATATATATATATATATATATATATATATATATATATATACAGTATATGGATATGTATATATGTATGTGTATGTGTTTATGTATATATGTATATGTGATCAAAAGTGACCAGATGTTGACCCCATTATTACTGTTTTTACTCTATTATTAATCAAATAAATGCAGCCTTGTTGAGCACTTCTTTCAAAAACATTAAAGAAAACGATAGACCCCAACCTTTTTGAATGGTAGTGTATATTGAAATGGGACTGTAGATGGCTAGAGATAATTTCCCCATTTCAGATGCCACTGACAATTTCCACCTCAATTCTCATGAGCTATGAACGTGGTCTTGTAGAGTTTTTGTTCCACTTTGTTGTTTGTCCCTGAATCAAACAGATCTTTTTAATTATATTGTTCTCCACACATTCAGTTCATTTTTCTCTTATTTTCTACGTTTCAGCAATGCATTCTAACCAAACATTCAGACTTTTCCTGGCACACACATATGCAATCCACTGTGGGATTTTGCAACCGCTCCCTAGTCTTAATGGAAAGCACAACAATGGAAAGTGAGCCACAGTGCCAAGGCAATTAATTCACTTCTGCAGTCCATGGTACCATAATGGTCACATGAGAAGTAGTGAAATTCTTTCAGTGACACTGTGAAACGAATGTCACGGTGGTCTCAGAAGCCTGCGGTTGCTTCATTAAGGCCACATAAAAGAACGTCGGGGTCATAAACACGGAAAATATAATAACCACATGTGTGCTATATGCTGCAGAGTTCACACACCCATTTGCATTTAGTAAGCGATTTAAAATGTGCACATACACAAAAACAGCCTCGCTTTCATTTCCAATCGCCTTTAATGAAAGAGACATTATTTTGTAATCCAATGAGGAAAATGTGTGATAAATGTGATGGGGCAAAGTAAATGACTACGGTAATTAAATGCGACAATTACTGTTTGTGTTTTGTACCTGATACTTAGACAACAATGCCGTGTGCTCCCTAGTGAAACATGGTGCAGTATTGCCCTGTCTTTCTTCCTCTCCCACAGATGACAATGGTATAATAATTACAGAGTGAAAAATAATCTGTCTCTTTTTTTCCACCCTTCCACATCCAGTTTAGCTTGGGGCTGATAATATACTGTACTGGTTTTGAGAGCTATTTGAATATTTCTTTGGCAGGAAATCATATTACAGGGCTATTAAAAAGTAGTTATTTGTACATAAATTCCTAGGGAGTCAGTGGTGGATCTTGGCAGAAGTGTATGCGGCTCGATACAAAGGCAGTTAGGAGATGATATTTCGCCAGCACCGTGTTTATTAAAAAATAGGCCTGCTCCTTCATCATCCTCTGAGGGAACTGTGTGTCAGCTAGCTCATATTTCATAGCTCATGCTAATGTAATTAGCACTGTCACGCGGGAAGGAAAACGCTCATTACCACTCTTATAAATGTTGATTTCACTGGGTGGCAAAAGACAGCAGCTCTCAGCACTGGAGGTCTTGTTTGGAATTGTGTTTGGTTTCCTGGAAGGTTTTGTTTTACATGTTTTTTGGATTGTCTCTTGCGTCAGTCCATACCTTCTATTTTATCCTAGTGGATGTTGCTAGTTTTGTTGTTAGCAGGTTGTCTGGCACTGTGGTTGGTGTGTCACAACTCAAAAATGGGTAGCCGGTCTTTTGTGATAGGGTTGTAAACAGTAAGGAAGAAAAATAAATGCAAATAAAATTTTTTTATTCTATTCCTGCTCTGTCTATGCAGTGTTACTAATTTTGCATATTGTTGTGCCCATGTTAAACAATGTGTCGTGTCATCACTTGATGGCTAACATAAATCTGGGTCCTGAAGCAAAAGCACTTGAGAACCACTTTAGTTGTAGATAAACAAACATATGCATATCTTCTGAATAATACAAAGAAGAATGTTTTGACTCTTTTTACCCATCCAATAAAAGTCAGTGGGGTCCAAAACAACATTGGACCCCTTTCAATTTTTTTGTATAGTCAATATGAGACATTATGCAAATATCTTAAATAATATAAAAAAAAAACATGAGTATATAATGAATATAGACCAGCTGATGTCATATGCTAATATGGACAATGTGTTGAGGTTTCACCCTGTCTGAACTGTTGACTGTTGAAAAGCATGCAGACTTGTTGATTTGGTTCCCAGGTCTCAAAACATCTACATGGTTGGTATGTCTCCTACATAAAGTACAAAAGCAGCAGCTCTTGTGTTTGTTCTCTTAGTGCTATTTTCATCTCCGCTCGTGAACCTTTTCCCCCTGATGTGTAGCAATGTGCTTGGGGCATTAAGTTAGTTCAGTCAGCTGGTTTAGTCTCAGTTTGGCTGGAGATGAATACTACTACTAATAGTTAACACGGGGCCGTAGCTTGTGCGAGCGACTTGCTATGGACTCACAGAATCTGTTTGTATGAAGCCCACACTTCATCCTAATGCACATTGTATTCAAACACACTCTATCATTAGCGCTAATGGCTCTGTTTACCAGCTAGGATATGACTGCCAATCCCACACACTGTAGCTTCAATTTCAAAACAATAAGAGTTTTTGTTTTACCCTCTCTGTTATTAAATTTCAAATGATTATGCATATGGTTATAGAAAATCCCAAACAACTAGGAATGATTTTGTGGCACTGTATGAAGAACCCTTGAAATTTTC